AGATTTTAAAACCCCTAGGGTCTGGGCCGACCTCACATGGAGGGGCAGAGTGTTCCAGAGCCTAGGGCCAGCTGCTGCGAAGGCTCGGTGCCCTCTGGTTTTGAGCCTGGTCTTGGGCACTACCAGCAGCAGCTGGTCAGCAGACCTTAAAGCTCTGGCTGGGGTGTAACGCTGGAGGAGTTCAGCTATATAGGCCGGAGCCAGCCCATTTAGTGCTTTAAAAACAAATAAAAGGAGTTTAAAATCAATTCGGAACCGAATTGGAAGCCAGTGCAGTGAGGCCAGAATTGGGGTGATGTGGTCACGCTTTTTGTGGCCAGTGAGTAGACGTGCAGCTGCGTTCTGGACTAGCTGCAGGCGTTTAATTGACGCCTGGTCCATACCCACGTACAGAGCGTTGCAGTAGTCCAACCTCGAGGTAACAAAGGCATTAATAACCCTTTTTTATTCCGAGTGTGCTTTCTTTTCTCTTTGAAAGTCATCACATAACGGCATTGTAATACACGGTTCGGCTGCATTAAATATTACATATCTGCCGTAGTTCTTTATCTATAGAGCCCTGATGAGAAGACTTCTGGACAAACTGGAAGAACTGCCACCGAAACTGAATATGTGACGTGGATCATAAATATATCAGCAATTACACAACATCTTCAATTTCTCTTAACACAATACGTCTCCTCGAAGTATCAACACTAATTCGGCTGACTTTTATATTTGATCCAATTGGTAGATAGGTTATATTTACACCATAACGGTGCACAGCTGATAGAAAAGGACTTGTAGTTTTTAAAGATATTACTGATTTTCTTTGAATTAAAAGAATGTAAATACTGAGTTGAGAGAATAGTCAGGGGTTTTGGGTGATGGGAGACACATCTATGGATTCAGAATTTCAATAGCTTACCATTAAATGACGGATATACCATTGTACCGTGATGTTTTACAAATCAGATATTAATGTGTAGAAGTAAAACATGTGAAATAGTATAGCAATATCCTGTAAAATTATGTGAAAACATGAATAAAACTACACATCATCAGATGTTATACATACATAAGTGTCCTACACTAATAATACAAAGTTATTATTAGTATGCTGTGTGTACCTTGTGTTATATTTGATGAAAGAATATTAAGAGTACATAAATCAAGAAGATACTGTAAGTGATCTCTACAATAAAACAGTTTAGTGCCGGATGTACAAAGATATTAATAGGAGGATGTGCAAAACAGACGAACTAAAAAGGCTTTATTTAACCTCTTCTACACCGCACCCCCGATATCGGGGGGAAAAACGCGTCATCTGAGGAAACAGTGTCTGAGGGCATCTTAATATTTAATAAACTATGAATGTTTTATATCCATGTAACGGGAAGAAACTCATCTACTGTAACTGATCATTTAAAAAAAAAATGTTTAAAAACCCACAATGCTAACGCTGAGCCTCTGAATTAGCAATGAGCGAAAAATGCTAACAGATTACTGTACCGAAATTCACTCACAAAACCTTATTATTTATCTTTTCTACACATCCAACACATCGTTTCACATCGTGAGATGACACAGAATCGATGGGTACATACATTATCACTCAATGATACGAACTTGCGACTTTATAAACAAAAACAGACATCAAAACATGTGGCGCTAGTTAGCTAAAAACGCTAACATGGTTTACCTGTGTCGTAGTCTGGTCCAAAGTGGTCTTCAATGGCATTCAAATGATAAAAACGCTGCTGAAGTTAATCCATAGGTTAATCCAATGTGTCTGTGTCACTTTGAAATGATTTCTGATAATCCATAAGCAATAAAACTGCTTTTCCGTTTCCAGATGTCAGAGCTAGAGTATAGGTTCGCTCTGATGCAAAACTGCATGCGCGAAACCCCCACCTTTTTTTTGTACCATGTGTGTGAGTGGGGAGATTCCCCTTCGATTCTATTGGCTCTAACGGTCAGAAAGAGATGTCAATTACCAAAATCGACCAATGGGTTCCAGAGAAACGGTAAAACCCCCATTTCCACCCAAATCACCTCAGAGGTGGAGTGTTTTTGGCTAAACCTCTCTAAAAAGGTCAAATGTCACTTGTTTTGCATCAATCTTGATACAGGGTACTTATTATATGTTGTACTTTGGATTTCTAAAGATTTTAGTCTACTAACCCATCATCCAAGGGTAGTTTTCACTATAAGTAAAAAAGAATATTTGGACGGACACTATAATTTACAGTTTTTTACTATGTTCAATCTGAATTTTCTTTAAAATAAAAAACATCTATATTGATTCTGACTTTTCTACATCCAACTCACAGGTTTATCATTACTTAGAGAACAAAGATTATTAATTTAACCCTTTTAGAAGGGAAGATATGGTCATTTGTTCTGGGAATGTCATTTTCGAGCCTGAGACCTGAAAAACAGGCTCAGTGCTTAACAGGTTAAACATTAAAGAATACTTTAAGTTAAGGTCTTCCTTTGAATAAGAAAAAAGCTTTGGGGGTATCTACAGATAAATATTAAGCCTGACAAAGTACTTAACGTCTAATATATTGCTTTGCTGCAATGTTAACTATGTTGAAGCACTTATTTTAACTGATATTATACGTATGAATTATACTCTTATGTATGTAGATAGTATAAGAAATGTGCAGAATATGATAGTTTAATGGTGGAGGTATACACACATATTGCTAGATGTCTTTGATGACGATGCACTGTTGAGGAACCTACGACCCAAGTTTTTCATTCATTGCATAACTACACCGTAGTTGTATATGATATGTCCATAAACCTTTGAAAATCTTGAAATCTTGAAAGGGATGTGCAAAATAGCCATTATATACAGTCTTTAATTAACTATTAGTAGAGAATAACGAGTAATGAATATACTTTATAGAGATCTGCAGATACATTTTTTGTCTTCTCAAGCACCCACTATCAAATATCTCACCTGATTGTTGGCACTTGACAATCACCTTCCCTGAATTTTACTCAGGTGCAACTAAAGCCTGATTTAAGGGTTGTTTATATTTCACATCATTAATCAGAATCTGCAAAGTAACTAAAATAAATGTAGTGGAGTAAAAATACCAGGTTAACCTCTGAATTGTAGTGGAGTAGAATTACAAAGTAACAATGAGCTGTCATGTGGGTATATATTAATGCTGCCCATTATGGACACAAGCAATTTTCACCCATTTATTAATTATACGTTCGCGTCCAGTTTTGGATAGTCTGCCGTGGTTTCGTTCGATTTCAAAGAGCTGTTTGACGCTCGGCGTAACCTTGGCGCACTGCCACTCCAACATCCAATCCCAGAGCTTGAAGATTAATCACGGGGACTGTAGTCCCAAACGATAGCTGAGGATTATGGGTAGTGTAGTGTCTTCGGCCATCCTAAACTCTGAAATGTTTTTCGGATTTCATATCGCATTAACACCATATCCCAACGTGCATTGCGGCTAAAACATCCAATCACCGAGCTTCAAGCTGAGGATCTGAACTGAATCAGTTCAGTGGGTGTGTGGTGTGTATCGCAATGATGCTCAAAATGTCCCTTATAGGCCTACGTCTGTTTCCGGTGACTTTATTTACGGCTAAAAAGCCCAAGATTATAGAATTAAACGAATAAATAAAAACAAGGATAATTGTGTGTTATTGTTGAGTAAATAACAGTGTGTTATTTAGAAAAGAATAACAAACTAGAAGGAAAAAAAGATTACAAAAAATACAGATTTCAGTATTCTGAGGCTCTGAGCCATTTATTTTCCTCACAGACGGCAACAAAGTCTGACATTATACGATTTAAAATAAAAACAATAATCGTGGCTTGGTATTGAGTAAGAACATGTTTTTATGAACCACACAGCTTTCGGTCTACCAAGACCCGACCGGACAAGAATAAGTGGTGCAGGCACAAAACGTGGCGTATCATATGCACGCAAAACTCGGCCTCAGATCTCAATGGGAATGGTTAGCGTATCATATGCACGCAAAATTGGACTTCTGCATATCTATTGCACGCATTTCCAATGTGTAAAGTTGTGTCATTTGTACGCAGACTGAAGAGAGTGGGTTGGTATAGTATGTGTATTCACTCTCTGTTCTAAACGGCTTGTTGGAGTTCCTGCCCCCCCCCTCCCTGTGAGCCCAGTTGCCATCTGCGAGACAGCGAGACACAGCGAATCAGGCTTGAATAAGGGCCCTGGGTCACCAGGCTTGAATATGGGCCATGCGTCACCAGGCTTGAATATGGGCCATGCGTCATCAGGCTTGAATATGGGCCATGGGTCACCAGGCTTGAATATGGGCCATGCGTCTCTGTTCGGCTTTAAGGGGCCAAAGCATCACACTTCAAGTGCTCCTACACACAATATATTTCAATACTATTCGGTAATATGATTTCCTTCATCCCTGTATAACTCTCTCATTGTCCCATACATCCCCGTTGCCATCAAGTAAGGAAAGAAACTCCGTACATCAAACTGCCTAATACTGTTGTTCTTCTGGGGGTTTTATCGGCTCGGTATTCCCCTCCCGGATGATACTCCCGCACAACGGGGTCTAATCACCAAACACCATTACATTCATCAGTGTATTTCTTGGCAATAAATATATATTGTTACATCAAAAACTTGTCTCTACTGAATGGAATTGGAATCAGGGTTTGTATATATAAATGATTGTATGTATGGAACTATTAACAGAGCTTTCCCTGTATTTCTGTGGAGCAGATGGCTTGGTATTACACATTTCACCTTTAAATTAGGTTGTTTTCATTTCTGGAAGCATGTTATGTAAGAAGTCTGCAGAGAAGTCAAACAAATCAGTGCCAGGGAGTGTCTCTGCATTCCTAGGTACAAGGGACTTTTAGTTTTCCTGTTTATCACATCAAGAAGATGTTATCTTGCCAAGGCCTGTCACAATAAGAACTGTTTTGACAGATGTGTTTAGATGTGTGATAGGAGGTCAGGTGAGGCGAGTATCTGACAGAATATAAGTGACCTCACAACATCACATTTCATCAGACTTGAAGCTCCTGCTGGAAGTCAGAAGACTCTCACACAACTCTGCTGATCTACACAACTTCACCAGGTGAGGACTAACAGACAAACACAGATTTATAATAAAAACGGTACTTTTCTGTGTAAAACTACAGCTGCGTGTCTGCAGGGAAAAACTGCATTAGTAAACAAAGTTGACAGTCATACTCCAAGTGTTATTAACCTGTTAAACCCTGAGCCTGTTTTTCAGGTCTCAGGGTCGAAAATGGCATTCCCACAATTATAAACACTAAAGAAATCTACCAGTTATGTGTGTGCGTGTGTACATGACTATGTGTGTGTGTTTCAACTCTCTCCATTCAAAGTCAGCAACGTTTGTAATTAATGAATGCACCTTTATCTTTATCGAGTGCTGGTTTTGTTTGTATTCCTTCCTCTCCACTCTAGTCCATTGTCCGGATTGATCTTGAATAGGCACCTGTTAAGACAGAAGTACACTTACATTAGTGTTTATTACACATTCTGTGGATGATACAGCCAATAATTGTCTTTACAGTTATACAGCTTGAAGTCAAAGGGCAATGCTACTCTTAAATGTACTTTTCATTAACGGCTATGATCATATCTGTGCATTTAAAGCATTGGTTTGAATCACTTGGCATGACTATCAAACTGGACAGTATGCAGGTCTGTAAACAGGAGCAAGCGGTCACTTGAAGGGGTACGCTGAATTTACAACCCAAGACAAACGAGAGCATAATGCGAAACAGAATGCAGCACAGTCATCTTTTTATCTCGATTATCTTGTATTGTCAGGAGCACTTATCGTGTGTCAGAAATGTGCACAATCCTCTACTCTGTGGTTTAAGATGGAATGACTTAATAATTACAATTCAAGTCTTATCTCTGCAAGAACTCCAGGGTAGCTCCCAGTTCTGAGCGATAACTGAGGCAGTAATATGCTGCAAACATCAGCATCAGGGCATCAACAACATTCGGGACACTGCCACTGACGATGGTCTGGTTCTCTGCTATCATGTAGTGTCCAGCTGTCAGGGGAGAACTCCCTTAAGGTACACAACAAAGGAAAAAGTCTCAACAAAATGATAAATCCCCAAATGATTTGGTGCAGATTGTTTACTGGTGATCACATGGCCAATTGTATTTGAGGAATTATCAGCTCCTGCAGCTTTCTTTTCTTTCTTAAGTGTTTCCTAATGTTAATGTAGCAGGTTGGAAATGCTAGATGTTAAGTTCAAACAGACACCCCCCCTATTTTTTGTTAATAATATAATCTTCCTAACATTTATACAATACACTGTAACGTCAGTAGATGGCGCCCTGGCGCTGCTGTGGATCCATTAGGGAGGAGCTCGGCTCATGCGCGTGTCAGAAGTGAACGTGCTGTGATCTGAGCAGGACGCTAGCTTTGGTCCTCTCTCTGCAGGTCCACAGGTACTGCAGGACTGGCGTTTCTGTATTTGGCTTGCATCAAGATGTAGTGTCGATGCACTGTCGGTGGTTTGGTAATGTTTCACGAGATTTGTGATGTGTGTGTAGGTGTAGCAGGTGTCCTTTTGTGGCTGGTTGTTCTGGTTGGCATCGCCATGCTGAGTGGCTGTTTTCATGGAATGCAGTTTTGCACAGTGGTTTGTGCGTGTGGGTAAACTGACATTTGGCACTGGGGCATGTGGGTCACGCCATGTTGTCACGTTGCTGCTGTTGGATGAGTGTGTGTTTTGAGTTATATTGTCTTGGTGCCTATTCATATGCTGGGTTTAGGCCAATTGTTGTTTATGTGGAGTATATGTTGGATCATTTTAGTTCATATGCATGTATTTCTTGTTTGGGCAGAATGTTTTATATTGTTTATACTTTGTACTTTTTGTGTGTTTTGTCTGTGGGACGGTTTGATGTTAATTTGTCATGCATTGTAACTGAGAGCCTTGACATGATGTGACTGAACTGTATGCCATTGATGTAGGAAATAACGTGCTGTGATCTGAGCAAGACGCTAAACTTTGGTCCTCTCTCTACAAATCCACAGACACAGTTTATATGTTGGTTACACAGTGCTCCTTAGCCTGTGTAACCCTTGCTGCTGGTCCAGATTACCCCTAGGTCTGGTGCCAGTAACAATTGGGGGCTCGTCCGAGATGATCTAGTGTCGCTGCCTGGTGAAGTTGGTGCTGAGACGACGTGAACCTGTGTCCAACGCTTCAGGGAAGACTGCAATCCAGTGCGTCATCCAGAGAGCGGAGGCCACCTGTGTAACATCATCATGGCCACTGTCACCCCACAGCGAACGCTGGTCTTCGAGATCCAAAAGAGACTTTCTGGTTTGAGTGGAAGTCAGCTATTGGCAGTTGCAAGTGCAATTAGTGACGGCAGCGAGACCAGCAACATTGATGAGCTGAGTGAACCAGAACTGTATGACCTGATCATTGATCACATCAGAAGTAAGAAATTGAGAGTCCTGGAGGATGAAGGCATGGTTCAACTCCTCCTCCTCGACGACATGCTGAGTGACCTTCTGGCCAAAGACACCAGAGAGGTTGGAGCTAGCCAGGCTGCGTTCCTTGAGAGGGGAGATTGTAAAACCCATCAGCAGGGAGGCTCTACTCCATCTCATCTTGACACCGACCATCCAGATAAACATCCAACTACGCCAACCACAGACATTCCAACACAGCCATTGAATATGAACAGAGACATTCACATCCTGCCAGCACCGATGGGAAGAGATCCTGGTATGCCAGCCAGTAACCTCACCACTTCTGCATCGGCCAAGTCACCCACAACAGGTGTGGGGAGTGCTCCCCGTGGTAGGGTGAGTCTATCTTTCAGTATGGGAGATCAGGTACTGAGGTTAAATGATGTGGCAGCTCTGCCCCCCCGCAGAGAGTTTAAGTTACATGGTGGACACATTTCTGATGTTGGTTCTGACATGTCATACAGCAGCCTCTGTAAGCAAATAGATGAAGGTTTGCAAGAAGGTTTGACTGAGTCAGAGGTAATCCGCACTGTGATTAAGATCATAAAACCTGGTACATTCAGGGAGATGTTAAGTAACAAAAGTGATTTAACTGTTGATGAGCTGAAGCGGTCTCTCCGCGCACACATCAGGGACAAAAACAGTACTGAACTTTTTCAAGAGTTAAGTAACACTAAACAGCAAGACAAAGAGAGCCCACAGCAGTTTTTGTACAAAATAATGGGTTTAAAGCAGCGTGTTCTATTTGAGTCACAACAGCCTGGTGCAGAGTTTAGCTATGATAAGAGGCTTGTTCAGGGTACTTTTCTCCACACGCTTTACCAAGGGTTAAATGAGAAAAACAACCATGTTCGACATGATCTCAAACCACTTCACACAGATTTGCAGGTTAGTGATGACTTTCTCTCAGATCAAATCACTAAGTCTACTTGTGAGGAGACACAGTGGCTAAAACCAGACCAGTGACTGTAAGCACAGCTCAGGTTGACAGTAGTGACTCAGCTAAGCAAGACCAAGTCAAGACACTGAGTTACAGGCTAACCGTGTTGCTATTAGAGAACTAACTGCACAGGTGTCCTCACTGACCAAACATATGGCTCAGATGGTGAAACCAACTGACAGTGCGACACCTGGGGACCCCATCTCACCAGCAGCCCGTCCTCAGGGACCAACATCTGAGACCAGAGGCAGATGCAGTGAATGTGTACAAAAGAGCAGGGAAAACTGCCCTCACTGCTTTATTTGTGGCCAAGCTGGACATCGCGCCATCGGTTGTCTGAAAAGAAAGATTTCGGGAAATGGGGCGTGGTCACTGGAGAGAGGCAGCCAGTGACCATGACAGCTGAGGAGCCTCCAGCACAAGCCAGCCACTTGAAATCAACCAGTACTGTAAAAGCAAACACACAGTGTCAACAACTACCAAGAAAGCGCATAGCACAACTAATTGGAAAGCGATGCATGGTCTCCTGTGCTATCAACGAAGTCCCTCTTCAAATGTTGCTCGACTCAGGGGCTCAAGTGACAATGGTGGGAGAGAATGGATTGGAAACAAACACTTCCGAACCTCCAAATCCAGCCACTCCAAACCCTCCCTTGCTACCCCCCTTTGGAGATGTATGCAGCGAATGGCACAGATGTTCCCTTTGATGGATGGGCAGAGGTTGAACTCCAGGTTCGTAGTGAGAATTATGGACATGTCACAATACAAGTGCCAGTATTAATCAGCAAAAACTGTCTTAACTGTCCTATTTTCGGCAGTAATGTCATAGCTGAGATAATCAACACAAATCAAGAACAGAAAGGTGAGGCTGATATTTCTGCTTTACTTAAAGAAGCTTTAAGTATCAGTGACAGTGCAGTGGAAGCCCTAGTTTCTGCTCTGCAGATTTTGACCCCCGATGAGACCGCCCCTGAGTGCAGTGTGAGAACAGGGAAGAAAGGTGTCACTATTCCAGCAGGACAGATCTGTGAGGTTAGGTGTAGAGTCAGGGAATGGCCAAGGGGGGGACAATGCTCTTTCAACCCGACCTAGTGAGTAACTGTTCTGAGGGGTTAGATGTTCCAAGTGGGTCCACTAAAATGGTAAAATTCCTATTCAGAACCCCACTAAACATGATATCTACCTCACAAAGAGAACAGTTCTAGGCACATTGGAGGAAGTTCTTGAAGTGAAACCAGTTAACTGTTTTCCAGATGGTGGAGAGCCAAAGTCCCATGCCACTTTGAACACATACTCAGCTCAGCCAAGCACAGACAAGCCGAGAGAAACAAGTGACAAACAGGACACAATGAAGAGTCAGATGTCTTTGCTAAGGATGATTCTGACATTGGTTGCATTCCAAACTTGCAGCTAAAAATCCACCTAAAAGACGAAACACCAGTCCAAGCAGCCTACAATTCAGTTCCTAAGCCTTTGTACAAAGAGGTGAAGGAATATGTCCAGAACCTGCTCGACCACGGCGGGTTCAAAAAGTCCATCTCACCCTACTCGTCTCCTGTGGTCTGCATCAGAAAAAAAGACGAGTTTACACCTGTGTGTTGACTTTCGGGGCTTGAACCGCAAAACTGTCCCTGATCGCCACCCTCTTCCACGCATCCAAGATCTGTTGGATAACCTGGGGGGCTATTCATGGTTCTCAATACTCGACCAAGGCAGTGCTGACCACCAGGGCTTTGTTGATGAGAGTTCTAGACGCCTTTAGCATGCCTTGGGGGCTGTACGAGTGGACCCGCCTCCCATTTGGCCTTACCAACGCCCCAGCGGCATTTCAAAGGTGCATGGAGGGAGTCCTTTGCGATCTAATGCTGCGTTCACACCGGACGCGATGCGATGTTTGGGGGTGGCGCGATTACATGTAAAGTCAATGCAGAGACGCGGACAGCGCGCATGAAGCGGTGGACGCGGCGCGAATCACGCGATTGAGGCGATTGAACGGTGCCGCATTAAACGCGAGAGTTCAATTTTTTCAACTCGAGCGTCAAATTCACGTGACGCGTTCTCGCGGAAGCCAATCAGCGGTGAGGATCTCAGTCGCCGTCACTGACGTTCAACCACACAACATCAGCCGTTAGCTGTTAGCAGTTAGCACACAGAGCTCACAGCTCCTCATATCTGTTCAGAAACTGGACAAAAGTGAAACAAGTACAAACCACAGACTGTCTGTGTCATGGTGAATACAGTCGCTGGTTTATTTATGTCTGTAGGCCGTTGTTGTGAGTGTGGAATGAGCATATACAACGTTAGCTTAGCCTGGTCGACCCGATCTTCATTCAGAAAACAAGCATTTTAAAAGGTGTTTTGCCTGCCGTCTTGTCTGCAGACTTGTCAAAGCATTGATGTAGGAAATAAATGTGCTGTGATCTGAGCAAGATGCTAACTTTGGTCCTCTCTCTACAAATCCACAGACACAGTTTATATGTTGGTTACACAGTGCTCCTTAGCCTGTGCAACCCTTGCTGCTGGTCCAGATTACCCCTAGGTCTGGTGCCAGTAACATTAACAGTGTAGAAAATGTCACATCATGAAGGGATAGTTTGGGTGTTTAAAGTGGGGTTGTATAAGGTACTTATCCATAGTCAGTGTATTACCTGGGGTGGTGGGGAGGGAGAACTGGGCCTCGGCATCGGCAGGAGTTGTAGTCGCCTATGAGTATTAGAATTTAGATTAACAAAGGCATAGAAAACCCCTGAAATATGTACTGACACAAAGGTACAACCCTCGATTGTGCGGTTCTGCAGGCTTTGTTCGACTTAGGAATTTCAACAATGCTCCTGTAAAATATATAGTTATAGTATTATGTGTCAACATTAAAATAACATACATTGGAGAAATTTCTTTGAAATTCCATTGACTGTCGGCTACATATTATACACACAATTGTCAGCAGGGGCAATAACAACTAAAATGTGAACTAACTTGAATGCATTAGTCCACAACACATAGCCTAACTAATGTTAGCCTACATAGTTACTAACATCAGAAGAAATAGACTAACTATGGTTACATTACTTAACTAGCTAGCTACAGCAACAGAAAATATTTTCATTCATCATCTTCACCAGTCAGAAAATGTCCGATAGCCGCGATGCAAATTTCCGCTATGTTAAACTCCATTGACTTATGCTAAAAATGTTAGCGATCTAAAAGTCCGCTATTTTTGGCTGTTTTGGGTCGACTTCAGTTGACTGTAACATCGAAAATCTTACCGAATTGAATGTTCACAAAGCTACGGACCGGTTATACACTGCATAGCAAGGGAACTAACATAGCTAATTTAGCTAACGTTAGCTAATGTAAATGTTGTAGTGCCGAGAGACGGGACCTACGGATTAAGAAACTAGACTACTTGTAGTGTACATGCAGAATTATTTCAATTTAAAATAGTTTTAAATGCTCACACACATACCTGACTCTTGTGCTGTATTTTCCTCTCGTTTATTTGAAATGTTCTGTTTCGAAGCACCTGATGAATGCTTTCTCTTTGACGGCGCCATAATCCCATCATCAACAGACAGGGGCAACACACTTGCATTTGAATCTGCCAATCAGATCAATCTATTGCTGGAGAGGGGGGTCTCCCCGAAATCTGTGAGATTGATTGGTTTTATGATCACTGGCACGTATGTCCAATGAGAACGTTAACACGTTTTAGAGCGTTTAGCGAAGACGGAGGTCAGTTTTGGCCTATGGTTTTGGATAGCGGATCCTCAGCCACTGTCAGCCGGAAGTGGCGCGTTAAATTACTGTTTTGGGCTGTCTGCCGTGGATGGGCTGCATTCCACTCCAAATAGCCGGTCGGCCGTAACCAGAATCCAAACGCCAGCTGTTTTAAGGATTCTCATTTAATTTCCAAGAATATCTCAGTACTGGGTTATTTCCAATTTCAAAATAAACATATATATTAAACAAATAGAAATAAGAAGTAAGTATATTATAGTATATTCAAGAATAAAAAAAGATGTGCATTGCATTGGACACATGTATATATGCGTGCATATATGCATATATATATATATGCGTGCATATATGCATATATGTGTGTGTGTCTGTATATATTTATAAACTGTATATTATTCCTGATTGCTTTATTTTTGAGAAACCTATTCTGCACCTACCTGGGTTTTAAGAGAGTCCAATACCCTATGAGACTGTTCAGTCACATAAAACATGCGCACCCAACATGTTAATAACAACTTCAACTCAACATAGTCAACTTTTTTGTTGTTGTATTTAACTCTATGGTTTTACACAGTTTTTATAACTTGAAATTCACATATTTAACAATTCAATCCTCAAAGTAATACAAGTCAAAATGTGTTAACATTTTTACTATAATAGGATAGTCAATACCTGTGTTTTTTCAGTTTATCAATGTAAAGTAGTGGTTAAATTAAGCAAAATTACAAAATATTTATTTCTTTACTCATATATTTTCTTGCAATTATACATTTTTTAAATGAGTATTAACAGTATTTTGTATATATTTGACAGTGATATATAGCCATAACAAAAGTATTTTAAATTACAGAAAATGCAGCTAATTTTGCTAACAGAGAATAATGTATTTTTACGGTTAGTTTTGTGTAATTCGCATTTAAAAACTGCTAAAAAACAGATAAATAACGTATTCCATTTCTACAGTTTTTTTTGTTAAAATACATGACACATTTCAATAAACCGTTTATTCTTGTAATTTTAATATGATTTCCTGTAATTATGAAATACAAAAAACACATTTTTTGGGGAAAAACTGTAAAAAAACATTTTTTTTTACAGCGTACGTAAAGTGGAGTTGTGTGTTGTCTTTGCTGGCTTTCGCTGCCGCGAGTTTTGGTCGCTCAGTGATGATACTTGTTTGTGCAGATCCGATGAAGTATACAAGATCGCTAACGTGAATTATGTGCTAAGTGCGTTAGCATTCTTTCGTTTAGTGCTAATTCAGAGGCTCTGCGTTAGACTTGTGTTTTGTTTCGGTAAACATAGTTCACATCGTCAGGTAGCTTAGTTTCTTCCCGTTAAGTGGGTATGAGACATTCATAGTTTGTTAAATGTTAAGAAGCCCTCAGACGCTCCCGGGCTTAACAGCTCTCAACATTTCTACTCCATAACAGACGTTTAAATCAGTTTCTGAAGTCTGTGTTGTTTCTTCTCAACAGGTTGGAGAAATGAACGTTGCTGCTCTGGGACGACCTTTCACCCTAGGGATGCTCTATGATGCTCGGCGTGATAAACTGGTCCAAGGTTAGACTTCACATTGTCACAAAACTTTCATCATAATCACTGTACAACAACAATTTACCAGGCCTAACATTATTTTATTTAAGTTATCTTTTAATTGTCGTCGTGCCATTTGAAATTGAGTGTGTTATGAGAGTTGTTTCTTTGTCTCTTTGTAGTGCACCTGTGTATATCGGGAATATTCTTTCACTGCTTTTGTCCGTAGATTGTATTTTCTATGCATTTAATCTTGAATCTGTGCCTTTAACTATTGCCTGACCAAAGTAGACAAGTATGCCTTTCTGACTGACTCTAGAACAAACGAGAATTAGGGATATTTTTAATATCTGACCAAAAGTGATTCTGAATATAATATCAGACTTTTGAATTTTTGTATTAGTTTTTTCTTAATTTTCGTTAAACTCAGAACAAAAACTAAATATCACTTTTGGTTAGATCTCCTCCTTACTCTGAGGAGGACTCTTCAGGATTCTGATTTTTAAGAATGCTAGAGTACGGAAGAGGATTAGGGCCACATGTGAAACGTATTTTGAGATCTGACCAAAAGTTTATTTTTGGGTTCTGTTATTAAACTAAGAATTTTAACTGAGATTTTCAGATTTTTCTCCGAATAACTTTACTCTCAGCACGAAAATAAATCCTCCATAGAACTCAAATAAAAATTCTGAATTTTTTTCTCAGACGTCCTTAGAGTTTAAGAGAAAAAAAACTGAGTCAAAAATAAAACTACACGTTGCAAACAAATCATTTTTGTTATCATGTAAACTATAAGTATTTTTTCTTTGTTTTAACATATCTTTTTGTTTGCAGTTCTTTGCTTCTTTCTCAACGATCAGACTTTTGCTCTCGCTGCAGCTCTTCTCGTTTGCGCTCCTTAATTTTTTGTTTTCGATTCTGACACAAACGTCCCAGTTGGGCGGGACTTTCAGGGGTGTGTCCCCATTGGCTACTCAGTTTTTGAGTGACAGCCCAGTCCTCCGGCGATTGTACAGTGCAGCTGCGGCAGCTGAGCATGGACAGAAGAACCAGCATTTCAATTATTATAATACTACAAGTGAACATATATGTAAGTATTGATCATTTGTGTTGTTTGTGCTGTACTATACGCTCTGTTTCTTTATTGTGTTAAGTGAGAAATAAAGAAAAACTGTGCTATGAAAGTTAGCTTTTGCTAACTTGAGATGCATAACAATGCAAGCTAAGTAGCCTACAGTTAGCTACATAGCTAGTAGTGAGTGAGAGTTCAGACACCGGCACACACACTCAAACGGACCCGTGTGCCTGACTCTACCAACATGCTTTCATGATTCTGTTTAGATATGCAAGTATAAGCCATGATAGTTTATTTTATTAACACACTAATTTGATATGAAAATCAATGGAGGCTGAGTTAACTTTGTAGGAAAACCTACCATCCATGACTGAGCTGAGTTTTATTTGTTAACTTCATATTTTTCATTTCCTAAAACATTTATTTTCCTCTCATATTAACAGTGTGGATCATTAAGACAGCGTGGTGTCCAGAGGTCTTATCCCGTTTTCCCACTTCCTCTGAGGGGACAGCATCAGACCCACGGAGGGGGGGGCATGAAGAAAGACCTGCACCAGCTTCATCCACACTGGGCGTTGCTCTTATCACTGGCTCAGTGTCATTTCATTTGACCAAATGTCTTTACATAAACATTTAATAGATTTGTATTATTATCCTCCTTTTGGTTTTAAAATATTCTTTGAGACTTCATCTGCTGGTTCAAATTTCAATAAATGAAATTTGTATAATCACACTTTTGTCTTTATTCTACATGAAAATGTTAGAGATTATGGATGTATAGGGTCTGCATTTTTATTTTTTATTTTTATCTTTTCCAACATTTGCTGATATGTACTGTCTTTGGTGCATATTGATACTGATGTGCATGTGTAAGGTGTTTGTATTGTTTCTTTTCTTTGTTCAATAAAAACAAAGTAAAAAAAAATAAAAAATGTTAGAGATTCCATTCAAATCTGTTAATTATTCATATCTTCCTCAGGCTAGGAATAGTATGTCGAATTTTTAATGCTAAATGTATTTCATTTTCTCACATGATATAGAATGAGAAAACACAGTTTTTATCCATTTTGTATTACATTACATTACATTTCATTTTTCTGACGCTTTTATCCAAAGCGACTTCCAATAAGTGCATTCGACCAGGAAGATACAAACTTGAAGAAAACAGAATCATATAAGTACATCAGGTTTCATAGAGCCAAAACATTTCAAGTGCTACTCAACTGGCTTTAGATAAGCCTGTCCTTTGTTAGTATATAAGTGCTTTTTTTCTTTTTTTTTCATTTTATTGGTCGAAGTGGAGTCGAAAGAGATGAGTTTTCAGTCTGCGTGCCTGTGTATGAATGCTTCAGCTCTGCAGACCAACATAGTAAGATGTGAGCATGTTCCTAATGTTGTTGGTATGCAACCTACTGTAGGTCTGGTCTGTTTAATAAAGCAAATCTGCCACTTTTATATTGTAGAATTTGTTAAATTAAAGCAGTCTTTAATTGTTTGTCCTAAACACATAGCATATATGCTTTTGAAATGTAACATGTCTTTGAAAAAATAACAGTTTACAATTTATATTGTGTATCACCTTTAGCTTGAAAATACATAGATGTGTTTTTTTTATCTAAAAAATAAATAGATATACAGACAGACACATCGATTCCAAATTGGGAAATTATTTTACAGCAGCAGTGTGTTCAGGTGTTCAGGTATTCAAATATTTAAAGTTGGAATAAAGTGTAAACTACACAACACAAGTATAATGATAACAAAAAATGAAGGAGCGCAAACGAGAAGAGCTGCAGCGAGAGCAAAAGTCTGATCATTGAGAAAGAAGCAGAGAACTACAAACAAAACTAGAGAATGCAATTCCTGAAGAAATTGCTAGTGGGAATGCTTTATGCTGAAAATCTGACGCTAAACTGCTATGCTGAAATATAATGTGTAAGAAGAAAGTGAAGAATTTAGATTGAAATGCTGTCGCCATGCCAACAGCATTTGATGACATCCCATAATAAGCTTAGATGCGTTGATGGCTGCATCGTTACCAAACCTGTGAAGTTTTGGGCCATTTGGAGCATTTTCATAGGAGTTATAGCGACATCGTCTTTTATGGCGAGGGATGCGTTTCCATGGAAACGGCATATGGTGAGATCTCAGATTTGGCGTAGAGCTGTTGAGGCATGGACCGGTGATATACAAGTGAAGATTGGGGGACGATCGGACCGTGTCCATTGGACTTACAGCGACATCGTGCTTCATGGCGAGTGGTCTTTCGCCATGGCAACGGCATTTGATGACACCCCATAATACGTTTAGATGCGTTGATGGCTGCATCGTTACCAAACCTGTGAAGTTTTGGGCTGTTTGGAGCATTTTCACTGAAGTTATGAGAAAACCGTGTTTCATGGCGAGCCTTGTGTTACCATGGCAACGGAATTTGAAGAAACCCCATAATTGACGTAGAGCTGTTGAGGGCTGGACCGGTGATATACAAGCGAAGTTTGGGGGACGATCGGACCGTGTCCATTGGACTTACAGCGACATCGTGCTTCATGGCGAGTGGTCTTTCGCCATGGCAACGGCATTTGATGACACCCCACAATATGCTTAGATGCGTTGATGGCTGCATCGTTACCAAACCTGTCAATGTGACATCATCGTGTTCCATGACACAGGTGTTTATATTTGAGCTAACGACGGCAGCTGTGTGTCACCAATAATGTATAAAATAGGTGGAACATGTTGAAGTCAGTATGAAGTCTCCATCAGACAGAAAAGAATAGGCTCAGACAGTCTGTTAAACTCCAGTGACCACGTCGTTAGCTCAAACACGAACACCTGTGTGTTATGACATCATCGTGTTCCATGACACAGGTGTTTATATTTGAGCTAACGAGGTGTGCAGAGATCAAAGGTTTGCATTGTTCTGAATGAGAGATGAACCTCTTACATGTGAACGTTTTGTGGAAGAACGATAACAGATATCTGTGAAATTTCAAAACGTGAAGCATGTCAAGGAAGTTGAGTATCTGAAGTGTACTTTTTGTGTACTTTCGGGTTAATAATGTGGCCTTTTTGGCAGTTTAACTAAAGGTGTGCGGCTGCTGCTGTGAGGAAATATCTGCCTGAAATTACAATGGGCTTTAATGAAGACATGTTGAACGTTTTTGTCACTTCATGCCCTCAAGAGGCATTTTGTCTAAATATATTTGCTTAATTATTTGTCATTTTTCAAGCCACGAGATGTTTTCCTACGTTTGTCATGAAGAATTTTGTCTCAAGAATGTAGGGTTTGGGAATTATGGCAGTTTTAAAAAAGATATATGAAGGCACATTTCAAGATTTCCTACCCTGTAGCTGTGACATCACGCACTCTAGTTAATGTTAAAATCTGAAGAAAACCTCTTTAACAAGGTCTGAACAATGTTTAATATCCCTAAAAGTAAGAATCAGATTTAAAAGTTGTGTTACACGAATAATGTCCGAAAGATGTGTAACATTTTAAAGTTGGAATGAGGTTTCTGAGTGAAAGTATGAATGAACAGTTAGCAGTTGAAGTCGCATGAAGATTTGTTGAAGTCTGAAGAATGTCTCCATTGACTTCCATGTTAAAAATTGGATGAATTATGGGATGTATCTCTGGAATTATGAAAGTTATGAATGATAAAAGTAATAGCCATCGATTCCCGACCGAGCTGAATGTTTTGATGTTCGAACGGAGTTTCTGCGATGTTGAATGTGGGAGGAGAAGACGGACAAAATAACTGGACGGAATAATAATAAGAATTTTGTCCGTAGCATAACATATAGTTGGAATGCTGTATCAGCATTCCCACTAAAATATATGTTCAAGCAAAGAAAAAATACTTATAGTTTACATGATTACACAAATGATTTGTTTGCAACTTATGGTTTTATTTTTTTAATTAAATGTATTCTGCTTGACTCAGTTTTTCTTTCTCTTAAACTCTTAGTTTTGCTTGATTCTGAGAACGTGTTGCTTTATCTTTATGACACAAAACTAATCCCATACTGAGGCAATTGCCCCTTCCCCCCACAGACACACACATATTTTGCTTATTAAAACCTTGCCCTGAACTGATCTTAAAAACGTTTGCTTTCCAATTTATTGATGTCTTTGTTTATGTTTAAGGTCTCAAATTATGGAATGCTGAAACTCTAAAAGTAAAAACATCTGAAACCCCTCAGCAGAGCAGTACTTTTGAGATTTCTGCATCTGACTCCATTGAATCCAACTCCACCTTGATGGACATTGAAGCTTCTCTGAAGGCCAGTTTCCTGAGTGGAATGATAGAAGTTGGAGGATCGGCCAAATATCTGAATGATCAGAAGAAATTCAAGAATCAGAGCAGAGTGACCTTTCAGTACAAAGCTACCACCAAGTTCAAGCAGTTGTCAATTGATCATGTGACCCTGGACACCGAAAAGATGGAGGTTATTGAGAAGGGCTTGGCGACACATGTAGTCACAGGCATCCTGTATGGGGCAAATGCTTTCTTTGTGTTTGACAGTGAGAAGTTAGAAGCCAGCCAGGTTCAGGACATCCAGGGCAGCATGCAAGCTGTGATAAAGAAGATTCCTTCATTTGATGTTGAGGCGAAAGTTGGCATCAAGCTGACTGATGAAGAGAAAGCTCTGACTAACAAATTCTCCTGCAAATTCTACGGAGACTTCATTCTCAAAAGCAACCCAGCAACATTTCAAGAGGCAGTGAAGACCTACTCACAACTTCCACAGCTACTGGGAGCAAAGGGAAAGAATTCGGTTCCATTGAAGGTCTGGCTGATGCCACTGAAGAATTTTGATCCCAAGGCTGCTGAGCTGATGACAGAGATCAGCATCGGACTAGTGGGGAAAGCCCAAGTTGCTCTGGAGGACTTAAAGGAAATACAAATGAGATGCAACGATTCTCTGGAAGACAAAGTGGTAGAGAGTTTCCCTGTGCCTCACGAAGAGTTGAGCACTTTCCAAAGGCTGTGTGGTCATTATAAAACTAGCCTTCAACAGACCATGGCAGAAAAACTTACCTTGATCCGCGCAGGAAAGGAAGATGAGAGCTCCCTAGTTCAAGTCTTTGAAGACATGCATCAGTCACCCTTCAGCCATGAAAAACTAAACAAGTGGCTGGAAAACAAAGAGAGAGAAATCAACATCATCAGGTCCTGTGTCGACACCATGGAGGGAGTAAAGATCGTCCTGAACCAGACCGAGCTGGACAGAGAGGTCCTTGATTCAGATGTAGATGGTGTTCTGTGCTTTGTTTTCACCTCCATGCTAAAGGGTGATATCTACCTTGATGAGATGGCTGGTGACTTTAAATCACCCAAACTAGGAAGTACCCATGAAGACCAGTGGTACTACTCCGATGATGTTCTGAACACAATGAGAGAAAAAGCCAAAACGTTCCAGGGTTCGGCCAAAGCGCTGAAGAACAACAGCAAATTCCGCTTCCTCATAATGGCCACAAACAATGACAACTACAAAGGAGCAACCATCTACCACTACAAGAATCACAGTCTGCACACTCAAGATTTTAGCCTGATCACTCTCTTTAATGTGGAGACCGTCACAGACAAGAGAGATCTGATCTGGTGTAAGTCAGGCTTTTTTTGTCAAAAATATGAATTCTCAAGCAGCCTGGTTCACCATCATTGTACTGATAACATATTTCGTTTTGTTTTCTCCATCAGATGCCTGTGATCTCACCCTGGACCCAGACACGGCAAACAACAGACTCACCTTGTCTCAAGAAAACAAGAAGGCAACATATGGAAAAGATCAGAAATATCCTTCTCACCCAGAGAGGTTTGAGTGCCCACAGGTGTTGTGCAAAGAGGAGTTATCTGGGCACCATTACTGGGAGGTAGAGTGGAGTAATGGTACCAATGAGTCTGTTCATGTCGCTGTTGCATACAAGGGACTTGGAAGAAAGGGCAATAAGCAAAGCGACTTTGGAGATAATTTAGAATCATGGTCTGTTGGCAAATGTTTTTCGTAAAAAAAAACACTTGTCAAGGCCTATCACAAAGGGAAGGGGTTGAAAGTACCTCATCCCTCTGGTTGCTTCAGTAGAATCGGGGTGTATCTGGACTGGCCTGCTGGCACTTTGTCCTTCTACAAAGTCTCTGCCAACACACTGAGTCACCTGTACACCTTTCGCACCACATTCACTGAGCCTCTTGTCCCAGGCCTATTGGCTCGTGGAGATTCCAACTATGCCTACCTGTGTCCATTTGAATAAGAGCAATGACAGAGAACTCTTAGATTCTTGGTCGGTTTAAAGTTTTAAATGGCAACCTCACATCACATTTTAACTTTCACATGCTACAGAATCAAAAATGCATTCAAACCCAGAGGGACGTGGAACATTATGATATAAAAAAGGGACTATTGTCTATCTTTGATTTTATTACCTTCTCAAACTGTTTTATACCAGCGCTTTATGAACAGTTTCACCTTTTTGTAATAGACACTCACTATCGTAATACCTTATACGCAAGCATTATATATCCAGCAATTGCTTTTTCAAGACTACTGTTGAAATATAAGCTACTTGTTTTGTTATATTTAATTTTGATTATGTTAGAAAATATGGATCTAGAAACGACAATTGCTCCTTCTTTGTATATTTTTGAAATCAGAATTTTAAAGTGAGTTATATTTAGAGAATACAAGAGGAGTCTTTTCTCTCATGAAAGCGGTGTGGGTTTTTCTGTTCAGGACAAGATCAGACATGCTTTATCAACATTAGAATGATGAACTATGAAATCATAGTTTAAGTGAAAGACAAAGAATATCTGTTTTGTTAAATGTATCATTTTGATTATGTTGGGAATATCCTATCGCTTAATTCAGCATTTGTTTATTTCCTTCTTTGTGCAGAACTCATAGCTCATGAATAAAAAGCTGCAGAACTTGTTTTGTTTGAGAGAATCACTGTTAACACCATTTAGTTGGAAATATTGCTGATGGTTATAAAGATGAAGCAATATCAGATTCCTGTAACACTTCAACATCTGGATATGTTCACTCTGTGCTTGAGCAAAAATATTAAATAAAGAGACCTGACTTTACACTGAGGGCCAGTTGTTGGTATTTATTGTATTCTGGGAGTGGTGTTATATCCATTATATTCTGACTAATGGTGTTAAATTAAAGAAGTGTGGCAAGTCCTTCATATTCATTGTATTCTGGTAAACGTCCCTTTAGTGTATGCCTCTTGACCAGGTACAAATGAGGAAACAAGGTTATCAGTTGCATTTACCTTTTTTGGGTCAAATGTCATAGCTTTGTCCGAGGTGGAAGAAGTCCTGCTACTAACTGAAGTATTAGGGTCTTTTTTTAGAACATTTAAATTATTTCCCAAATTGGGATAAATAAAGTATCTATCTATCTAATCTATAAATGTAATGTATATTGATTCGTGTTCACCAACACGATTTTCCCATTTTTTTCGTGTCACACAGAACGATTTTAAAAGCAATGTATTTCTATTGGTAGTATGTTTCATGCCTGCACCACGTCTTTTTGTCCGGCCGGGTCATGGAAGCTGTGTGGTTCATAAAAACATTTTCTTACTCAATATCAAGCCACGATTATTGATTTTATTTTAAATTGTATAATGTCGGACTTTTTTTGCCGTCCGTGAGGAAAAGAAATGGCTCAGAGCCTCAGAATACTGAACAGACAGCAGAGGGAGCCAGTTTCTTAAATTAAATAAAGGTTTGTACCTACTTCTGTTTCTAGCAAGTGATAATGTAGAGACAGACAAATGGCAGTCTCTATTGTAATACAAAGTTATAGTAAATTAGTGATGGGTTTTTCTGTAACGTTAGCTTGTATTAGCTTGTGTTAGCTTGTGTTAGCTTGTCTTAGCTTGTGTTAGCTTGTGACTGTCATTAAACATCCATTAGCTGATGTTAGTTTTTTACTTTGACCTAACAAACGTTTGCTAACGTCAGCTTGTGACTGTCATTAACATTCATTAGATAACGTCAGTTTTAAAGCATTCTACTACAGACGGAGACCAAGCAGTTTTAATGTGATGTGGTTTTCTTTGTATTAATACTTGAGGTTGGCCATCATGTATGAACAGTAGTGATGGGAATTCCGGCTCTTCTTGGTGAGCCGGATCATTTGGCTCGGCTCACCAAGAAGAGCCGGCTCTTTCGGCTCCCAAACGGCTCTTCAGTTTACCACATATTATACCTTTTATAATTCAATCAAATGTAGCCCTGTTTTGACTAATGATTTATATGTGTACACATATCACTTAAATTATTCAATACATCCTTTGTACTGAAGTATTCAAAAGTAAAAATTACATGTTTAATATCAATTATTTGCTGTGGCCAATTGTTTTCATTGCATTTACAGACTCTTGTATCTCTCTGATACCACCCAATGAATGCACAGACTTGCTTGTAGAACCACGCTACACAAAGCAGATAGCAACACCTATAAAAACTTAAGCATAGACATTTAAAAAAAGGGGCTACTGTATCGACATTTTAAAATTATATTTAAAGAAAAGGCCCTGACAAAACAGCAGGGCTCTATTTCAGTATTAACTATAGAAAAAAAGACAGCAACAGCTGACATCAAATCTTTGCTGAGCCCAAGGATAATCATAAATAAATAACATAGTGAAAATAAATATATTGCAATGCTCAGGACAGCAGCATCCAACCGTCTCTAATCATAAAAAAACATAATACAAATAAATGTATCGCAATGCTCAGTACAGCAGCATCCAACAGTCTCTAATCCTTGGATATTACATGTCACTGCATGCATGCACAGAGCAGCTGTAGCGCGGAGATCATCATATCATTCTGTCTTGTATTACTTAACAAAAAATAACAAAAACAAAAAAACGGCTCGTTCGCGGGCGCGAGCCGGCTCCCGTTGTTCACTTAAAAGAGCCGGCTCTTTGAGCCGGCTCGTTCGCGACCGACACATCACTAATGGACAGCTTCATCACAGACACATTATCTTTATGGCAGCATTGTTTTTTACTGAGAGAACATCTGCTAGAAAGCCTTATAGTTTGGGGTTGGCTGACCAGACCTTGATATTAGCACACAATGCATTTGAGAAGGAAGTGTTTAAAACAGTCTGTGCCAGCAGCAGAAGGGAAAGACCCATTTGAATTTTTTTTTAATTCACGTCCTCCTTCCTTCCTTGAGTTTGTTTTGTCATGGTCCTCTGCAGCAGCTCTGCAGGTATGCTGTTTGCTAAACAAGGCCAACTGTCGTCTGAAGGAAGTGTTTAAACTATTCTGTGCCAGCAGCAAAATAACAAGGTCCTTCTTTGTTTTCTGTAATGTAGCAAATGTACGAGTTATTCACATCATGTTGTTGTCACAGAAAATATAAACTAAATATATATTAGTGATGGGTTTTTCTGTAACGTTAGCTTGTGTTAGCTTGTTGTGACTGTCATTAACATTCATTAGATAACGTTAGTTTTAGAACATTCTACTACAGACGGAGATCAAGCAGTTTCAATGTGATGTGGTGTTCTCTGTATTAATACTTGAGGTTGGCCATCATGTATGGACAGCTTTATCACAGACACATTATCTTTATGGCAGCATTGTTTTTTACTGTGAGAAAGAAAGGCCTTGATATTAGCACACCAGTGACGTGCGGTGAGGTTCATGGCTGGTGAGGCACTGACTCACTGAGTCAGATTTACAAATATTATATTTTGACCTTAATCGAAATATTCGGTTATTTTCAAAAGCTTTTTTAGTCTGATGCTTCGATTCATTTCAAACAGACCGTTCAACAAAAGGATACCCAAAATCTAAATATTGGATTGTTCTTTCTTAGTAAGATCCCATTTTCATTAGAAATGTGGTCTTACCTTGACTTGAAGATGAAGTCCATGCTCTCCTTCTGGACAACAATCTCTATTACTGTTTTGTAAAAGTCCTCCTTATCTTCCTGTAGTTTCAAAAGTCTAGTTTGTTGTTTGCGTCTACCGTCTCTGCGTAGAATTACAGTAGCAACAAGAACCTGTGGGCTCACGTGCGCCCCCTTCAGTGCGGCAGAGGTTATGGCTGCCTCCCCTGGTGCTTTTTTCATTGCCGTTGTATGATGAGACCAGCGAGCCTAAATATCATATATACGTGAAATAAGTTATTTAGAGACTATGGATGGCGAGGATAAATGTAATAAAGGGATCTACAAACATTACATTGGTGACCTACAGTGAGATGGGAACAGGCATGCGCTTAGGGCCCGCTTTCCAGCCAGTTTCTGTGGGGTGACACATTCTGAGGTGAGGCAGAGATCATCTGTGCCTCACCTCACCCCACAGTAACTGGCTGGAGCGCGCTCACAAAATAAGTGCCCGCGCTAAATGAGTGCCCGCGCTCCAGCAAGTTACTGTGGGCTTACGAGAGGCAGAGCTCGTCCCTGCCTCACTTCTCATCGCTCCCGTAGCGGAGCTCGGCAAATTTGCTGATTTTGACTATAAAAAGCGATTGGAATCATACATAAATCACACTTACAACACAGATCAGTGGAGACATTTTATTATTATTACTTTTTAGTTTTTCTTTAGTTGTTTTTCCGTTACATTGGAGTATGACAGGGGAGGCTCTGCACGTCGCTGTAGCACACAATGCATTTGAGAAGGAAGTGTTTAAAACAGTCTGTGCCAGCAGCAGAAGGGAAAGACCCATTTGAATTTTTTTTTTAATTCACGTCCTCCTTCCTTGAGTTTGTTTTGTCATGGTCCTCTGCAGCAGCTCTGCAGGTACGCTGTTTGCTAAACAAGGCCAACTGTCGTCTGAAGGAAGTGTTTAAACTATTCTGTGCCAGCAGCAAAATAACAAGGTCCTTCTTTGTTTTCTGTAATGTAGCAAATGTACGAAGGAACAGAGTTATTCACATCATGTTGTTGTCACAGAAAATATAAACTAAATATATAACTTAAAAAACAGATCAATAAAGTGAAATAACCCTTTGGTTAGCCTTAGTAAAACAATACTGTGAGATTACTAACATTTATGAAATGGGGTTTTAAACTCTAAATTAATTTTATAGTGAAGTTATTTGTGTAAAATGTATGAATGCTGATCTTTCATATATCTTCTTTGATGATCTGCAGTTTGAGAAGTTACTCATAAAAATAAAAATATTGATGTATTTGTTTCACAGAAACGGTCTGCATGTGTTTCTGCCTCCATCTGCAGCAGCTCTGCAGGTATGCTGCACTCCTAACAACGCACACCTGGCATCTGAGGAAAGCGTTTAAATGACCTTGTGTCAGCATCAGAAGGGAAAGGCCCTTCTTTGTTTTCTGTCTTTGTAACTTCCTTGTTCCTTGAGTTTGTTTTTTAGCTTTAATTGAATGCCTTTTTATTTTAATGTTTAGATAAAAAATGAGGGAACACGTTAATCTAGAGCATTCACACATTGGTTGGTCAGATTTAATACATAAGAGTCTCCAACAAACATGAATTCATTCATCAGAGTTGCATTATAAGAAACTGCAGAGTGTGGATATCGATTGCGTGGCCTTGGCTCGGATCTGACATACCTGCTCTGCCCTGATCTACTACTAGCTGTTAACAGCATAATTGCGGCTGCTTCACTGTGCGCGCTCCCCTCCTCTCCCTCATTGGCCCTGGCTCGGAGCAAAGGGGCGGGACGTGCAGGTGCGTGCTGTTTAAAAAGCTTCTGGGAACTCATCGCGAAGCACATGATCGAGACCGGTCCTCCAGAGATGCGAGGCAAGGCTTACACTTGATCAAGCAAAACAAACAAGTGCGTGGAAAAACGACAGGCGAGGATAACAGAGGCCCAAAGCATCTGGATTATATTTCAACAACCGGTCCACAAATGAGCAACAGGTAGAGGAAACATGACATTCATTTCATAGAACCTCTCTTTGCTTTAAAATGAGATGTGATGCGCCTAACAAGAGTTTTACGCATGTCAGAATTGCAGTGGCGACTGGTCATTAGGTGCAGGTGGCACAACCCCACCTAGTGTCAGCAGAAAGTCATTCAAATAAGAATTAAAAAAAAATGCAAATAAATGCAAAACAAATTGTTAAGATCATGTTTAATCTTCTGATTCTTCTGTACATTGCTGTTTTAGTCTGTGTTCTTCTAATTCGTGTCTACAGTGTGCCTATTGAGCCTTTTGAGCGACGTGGGTCAAGCCCTGATCCAGCCCCTCTCTCTCGCTGGGTGCTGTAAAAGAATCTTTTTCTATTCAATGTGTGAGGCAAAAAAATAATCACCATAGGGGCATAGTGCTGGCAACCCCACCAAACGTCATCTCATAATTCAGAGCTGATTGGCTGTAAGTACGTGTGCCGCGAAAAGTGTAGTGTGTGAAGAGGAGACGAGAGAGAGCAGCGTATAGAGTGGTGCAGTGACGCGTCCTAAAACCTGGAAGTAAGTTGCACATGGGTTCCCTAGACAAAAAAGCAATGAGATTTCTCCATAGGATTTTGGAAAATAGCTCCAAATAAGATCTGTGTGTAACGTACCTGTTAGATAAATGCACGTTTTGTTCAGCCGGATAATATCCACAAGATTTATGATTCGACTTTTTAACCTCTTAAAGGGCCCATGTCATGGCCATTTCCACTGATCATAATTACATTGTTGAGGTATACTAAAATAGATTTATACTGTGCAATTTTCCAAACTCACATTGGTTTCGCATACAGCATCTCTGTCAAGCATGTGTATTCAGCAGTATTCACTTTCTCCACTAAACGACTCGTTGGAGCTCTTGCCCCCCCCTCCCTGTGAGCCTAGTGTGCTCCGATTGGTCAGCTCGGCCACTCTGTTCTGATTAGTCAACCACCAGAGAGGCTCCGCCCGCTTTTTTCGGGGAACATCAGTGTTCCAGGCGTCGGTACAGCTGATATTTTATACTAACTAACCGAACTGAACCTACAACTGTTGTTATAGAAGAGTGTGACGGCCCCAGGGCCTTTGTGCAGGTGTGTTGCAGGGCTTACGGTGGGGTGGAGCTGAAGAGGGTAATCAGCGCGATCACGGACACTTCCGTAGCCGGTGCTATTAATCCCAGCGGCCCGGAGTCTCTCTCCAAAGCGGCTGCAGAAGGACGAACTGAGCGACCCTCTCCCCTCGACCACCTATCTCTGCATTTACCACAATAAATGTGCCGTGGTTTTGTAAACTCGTGTATGTCTCCTTGCCTTTCCGTTGTGGCCTACGAGCCAACATAACAAAGAGTAAGTTATTTTTACCTGTAATAAACTACTACTGTTTGATGAGAAATCAAATCATGGTTTGCTAATATATGAATTCAGGGAAGAAAGGATAGGCCTACTAAGTATTTCCATTAAACTTTATTTTTAGAAATGTACAAAATGAACATAAATATACATATATACACGGTATATCATCCATTCCTCCTCCTCTTGCCTGCGCACAGCCGGTGCGGTGCGGTGCCTTTTAGCACGTCCCGTCCCCGTCATGGATTGTCCGCCAGGATCTGGCTGGACGAAATCAAATGCAAATCACAAAATATTAGAGAAACTTAGTTGTTTTAGATTCGTTAGTAGTAGTTGTGTAATGAACAGCTTGCCTGCTAATATGCTAACCTAGCTTTGTTTACCTTGGTAGCTAACACGATATGAACGTTAGCTTGGAGGAAAGGCAACTATAATGCAGTGTAATAAAACTACTATGAACAAAAGCTAGTGGTTCATATTAGGCTAGCAATAACGTGTTTATAATTGCAATCGTATACGGGTATTCTGCTACCATACAATGTAACTTGCATGAATACATTGTTTTGCGCTAGCATACAGCTAGCCTCGTTAGCTACATGCAGTATATGTACGGTCACAATGTACGGTAAACCGGAGTATACTGTATGAGTATTCCGTGTGTGTGACTGCAGACATTCTCCTGCCATGACAAACATGTAAGGCCATCTGCTGACATTGTAGTTGATATATTTAAACGCTAGCAACGTAGCATCACAAAAATGTTTTTCCGATTAAATCTAGCTCTAGCTCCGTGTGTTAGATCGGTTGCACACACGCTACGCCAGCTATAATGTAATTACGTTTCGCGACTGACCGCACGGCAGTATACTGTCAATAGGTATTTTGTGTGTGAATGCAGACATTCTCCTGCTATGAGATACATGTATGCAAGGCCATCTGCTGATATTAGAGTTGATATATGGAAACTCTAGCAACTTAGTTAGCACAGTTAGCACTGTGTCAATGGCTTAGCAGTCCAACACAGTTTACACATTTAAACAGTCTTGTTTGATAAATACACAAATAACAATGCAAACTTACAGGTTGTATACCCAGATCTTCCCCTGCTCCAAACGGTCCAAACAAGCTGTGCATATCCGGCCTCAAACTGGGCAATGTTTTGGAAGCTTTCGTCTGTGAAATGCCGGTTCTTCGAACCTCTGGAGGAGGAACACGCCGCTGCTGGTGTGGCCATAGCTCTTCGGGATTGGTCCATTTCGTTCCGGGTACCGCATGACATCAGGCGGTACCCGGAAGAATCAAATGGGCAGTGACGTATCTCCAACGAGGCGTTTTGGGGAGGTATTTTCTGTGTTAGAGTTTTACTCGCTACAGGGTGTACTTTGAGGGTTTTGACTCTGCACACCGTTTACATGCATAAAAACCTTCATAACACACAAGGGGACGGGTAATAACTGGAAAAGCATGACATGGGAGCTTTAAGCAGGCGGTCCCCCCATTGGACCCCTCCCACTGTTTTATTTTTAGACAATGTCTCAGGACTTCTTAACATTTATGAAACTATTAATGTGTAGCACCAGATTAACGGGAAGAATCTCAGCTAACTGAAGATATGAACCATTTTTAGCTAAAAGAAACACAAGAGTAATACCAAGCCTTTGAATTAGCATTTTGCGAAAAAATGCTAACTAATGCTAACGGACTTTTGCACAGCACCCACTCTCAAAATGCCCTTATTACTTATCGTAACTGCACAAACAAGATATTCGATTAAAGCTGAGACTCCACAGATTCCATACATGTAGTGTCATCACTGTACGACCCCGAATTTGCGGAGCTTTCAGCCAGAAAAGAGAAAGTAAACAACATCCGGTTTCAAAAATATTACAATAATTACATTTGACCTTTTTTGATTTGTGATCAAAAGTTGTGTTCAACGGAATAAAAACGCCGCTCAAGGTTAATCCAATGTGTCTGTGTCACGTAGAATTTGTTACTGATAATCCATCATCATATTTCTGGCAATAAACTGGGTATAAAGTTTTGCAGTCAAGGCTTGTACTTTCAGATATGCTTCGTTTGCTTCTCTATTACGTCCGCAATGGTAATGTTTACGTGGATTTGGGAACTGCCCATCGGATTCTATTGGATCTAATGGTTAAAGGTGTAAATCACTCAAATCGACCAATGGGTTCCATAGATATGGTCCTGCGTAAAGTATAAAGTATGACAGCCAGCGGCAGACCCATTACGCAGCAGACTCTACGCAGTGTTTAGTACGTAAACAACAGGAATTGCAGCAGGACCCAGAGCGCACAGAGCGGACAGCAGATAACGGAGCAGACTACAAGATTGGCGTTTAGGACTTTTTCTATACTTTGACTTTTGTCAAATAATGGCTTGCAGGAAAGAGATGCTTACGACTTTACAGGCAATGGAAATTGTGACTAATGTTGACAGCGATGCAGATATGTTACCTGTTGATTCTGAGTCAGACGACGAGGATCTCCTGCAGCCAGAACGGAACCCGGAGCGTTGTGACTCTGATGAGGAAATTCCACCACGGGAAAGGTATGTAATCTCTCTGTTTTTATCTATTACTTATTTATTTGGTGTACGATTATTCATATAGTAAATAAAAGCGTCTGCTAAATGTAATGTAATGTAATGTACGCTCAAAATGGCATGTTTGGCAGGAATTAGAGGGATTATTTATAGTGTTTCTTGTCTGTTACCTTTACTAAAAGTATAGGCCAGTGTTCATCTATAGTCACTAAATGTATTGCATTCACACACTCAAAATGGCATGTTTACTGCCAATTACAGGAATTCATCTAATCTCTTTGTTTTTCCACATTTGTTTTCATAGTGATGGAGATGAGGATGAAATGGCTTCAGCATTGTCTACTTTCACCCAGCCCACACCTGCCTCACCCTCACATTCCTCAACTTATTATAATTTTCTCAGGCCTCGTCACCGTTCACAACCGATCGGACTACTGGAGGAAGAAATGGCCATATAACTTCCAGGCTGGTGTGTGGCAGACAAAGACTGTTCCCGTTCCTGACGCTGTGTTGGACTACAACCGAAGCATGGGCGGCGTGGATGTGTCTGACGCTTTGATCGGGTACTACAGCGTTCTCCCCAAACGATGAAATGGTACAAGACTTTTTCTTACCATTTTATGGACATTGCAGTTGTGATCAGCTTCCTTCTCCACAAGGAGCTGTACAAGATGAAGAGTGACCCCAGCAGGACAAAGCCACACACACAGAAGACTTTCAGGGAGCAGCTTGCTGCAGAGATGTTGGAATATGCTGAAGGCTCTGCACCTCCACCCCCCCCCCCCCCCCCACCACTCACATGCGGGCCCATGTTTTATGGGAAAGATGTCCGTACCAGGAAGTACTGCAGGAACAGCCATGATGCTGGCAAAAAGAGGGTGAAGACACCTTGGCACTGCGTGAAGTGCCAGGTCCCTCTGTGCTTGAATATCAAAAATAATTGTTACCAGGAGTGGCATGCCAAAATATTGTAACATTCAGGAGGTAAGTATAAAGTTTTACATTCAGGAGGTAAGTATAAAGTCTACCTATCTAGAGTGTGGTTTTATTGTATAGTGTGTTGGTAAAATGTTTGAAATAAATCTGTAAAATGTTTGAAATAAATCTGTAAAATGTTTGAAATAAATCTGCTCCAATTGGAGTCAAACTTCATTTTGCATGTTTTTATTTTTTACAACAGTTGTATTTGGATGGAATGAATACCTATAGTGATAATTCAAAGTAATAAAATGATATTTACAGTGAAAAAGGTCAAATGGAACTGATGGTTCCCAAATTACCCAGAGGTGAGTCCGTCTGGACTTCATTTTTCTAAATCTCTCTAAAAAGGTCAAATTTCACTTGTTTTGCATCAATCTTGATACAGGGTACTTATTATATGTTATAGTTTGGATTCCTAAAGCTTTTAGTGTACTAACCCATCATCCAAGGGTGGTTTTCACTATAAGTAATGGGGTTTTTTAGTCTGAGATTAGAATTTACATGTTTTTACTATGTTCCATATGAATTTACTTTAAATTAAAAACATCTATATTGATTCCGACACTTCTACATCCAACTCACAGATGTAACCTTGCTTTGAGAAAAAAGATTATTAATTTACCCCTTTTAGAAGTGAAGATATAGTCTTTGTTGTGTTAGTGGCATTTTCGAGCCTGAAACCTGAAAAACAGGCTCAGGGCTTAAGAGGTTAAACTACAGGAAGATAACGAGGACTTTTACAAAAAAGTAATAGAGATTTTTGTCCAGAAGGATAGCATGGACTTCATCTTCAAGTCAAGGTAAGACCATCATTTTATTGAAAATGGGATCTTACTAAGAGAGAACAATCCAATATTTAAATGATAAAATTACATTTTTTGGGTATCCTTTTGTTGAACTTTCTGTTTAAAATGAATCGAAGCATCAGACTAAAAAAGCTTTTGAAAATAATATTATATTTTGATTAAGGTCAAAATATAATATTTGTAAACCTGAATAGTCAGTGCCTCAGCATCCATGAACCTCACTGCACGTCACTGCAGAAGCTTGTGTGTGTGTGTGTGTGTGTGTGTGTGTGTGTGTGTGTGTGTGTGTGTGTGTGTGTGTGTGTGTGTGTGTGTGTGTGTGTGTGTGTGTGTGTGTGTGTGTGTGTGTGTGTGTGTGTGTGGATGATTGCATCAGAAGTCAGTTCCCTTCTCTTCCCCGTACCTGTTAACATTTGTCGCTGGCATTTGGTGCATGCTGAGAGCAGCTTTGTCTGTCCACTCACAGCCACATACTATTTAATTATACTCTTTGAAAACATAAGAATAAACGTAAGAAAATAATATAATAGCATTTAAACTATCACTGCGTTTTTCTTATTTAGGGAATTATGTCTACTATTTATTTTTTGCTCATTTCAAAATAAAAGTAATTGGCTAAACATACTAAATCTAAAGAAAGTCGGTTGCACTGTTTCTTGAAAATCTTTGCATCTCAGTCATCTCAACTTTTTTATTGTGCATTGCTTAGCAACACAGCATCCTTCGTCATTAGAATAATGTCTGCATGTACATGTTGTACATTAGATGATTAAACTGCTGAATAATCGTGTAATCATAGTTGAAAATGTTAAGTTGGAGTGTTGACAACAGACAGAAGTAGCACAAGCAAAACAGCTTGGTTCTAATGTCTATCTTAAAAATGAATTACATGCGAAAACCACTGGGTGAAAGTCAGAAGTGAGCAAGTCATGAACAATTTGTCCTTGGCTTTGGTTCAATTTGTATACCGTGCGGTGCACTATCAGTATCTTTCAGTATTTTAATCAAGAGATGTCATTAAGAGAAATGAGCTGCAAATAAAACATTTCTCTGTTAAGGCTTATTAACTTGATCCGTCAGTGTTTGCAAAACCATCTGTTCATGGGATCCTGTACGGACGCTGTCACCCATCATTCAGCATGAAATGATGGAGTCAGCGCAGGGCAGCCAAGTAAAACAAGTGGAATTTGTAATTGACCAATACCGGGATCTGAGTGCAATTACAGGGTGGCCTCTCTCATAGTGACAGTTGAAATGTTAGATGCGGGTTAAATATCACTGTTGTTGTTTGTCATAACTGGATGATATATTGTTGGCACAGAGAGACACATATAAATATTTCAAGGGTTTTTCTCAGGCTGCACACACATCTTACATTACAGTGATGAAGTCAGCAGTTCTGAGATGTTACAACAATTGCTCAAAATAACCGTTGTCAATAGATGCCCTGACGAGGATTTCATTAAGTTTTATCCGAAGTGGTTTGACTGACAGAGGCTTTCTATCTTTCTTCCAACAGATGAACTTCATGAGGTCCTGTCATCTGATGAAAGAGTCATCTGATGAAAGAGTGACCAATTTATCCTCCTCTTGTTGCACTCTATCTAGGGGCCAGTGAGGCTGAAGAGGCATCCCTTCAGCCCGCCTCACCTTGTCACCATTTCCTCTCAGAGTTGGTCCCCCAAAAGGTTTCAAAATGTTTCTCCAACGCTTTTTCCAGAAACTCAGACTGTTTTCCAAAGCAGAAGCAGCACAGCCCTCCCAGACTGAGGTGATGGGAAGCGTGCGAGCCAGCCGCTACAGCATTGTGTCATCAGAGGAGGACGGCATGAAGCTTGCCACTATGGCAGTACCAAACGGCTACGGGAATGGCAAGGGCAAGGTGCAAACTAGGCACCAGCCGCAAAGCAGATTTGTAAAGAAAGATGGTCACTGCAATGTGCAGTTCATCAACATGAGCGAGAAAGGTCAGCGGTACTTGGCTGACATCTTCACTACGTGCGTGGACATCCGCTGGAGGTGGATGTTCATCATCTTCTGCCTCGCCTTCCTCCTGTCGTGGCTGTTCTTCGGCTACATCTTCTGGCTGGTAGCCATCTTCCACGGGGACTTGGAAAGTAACTCTACAAAGTGCGTCTCCAACGTGAGCAGCTTCACCGCCGCCTTCCTGTTCTCCTTTGAGACTCAAACTACTATCGGCTACGGTTACAGATACGTAACAGACGAGTGCCCCGTCGCTGTCTTCGTGGTGGTTTTCCAAAGCATTGTGGGCTGCATTATTGACGCCTTTATCATCGGCGCTGTCATGGCAAAGATGGCAAAACCCAAGAAGAGGAATGAAACGTTGGTTTTCAGCCATAATGCCACCGTGGCCTTGAGGGACAACAAACTCTGCCTGATGTGGCGTGTGGGGAACTTAAGGAAGAGCCACCTGGTGGAGGCACATGTGCGCGCGCTACTTCTAAAGTCCCGGACAACGGCGGAGGGGGAGTACATCCCCCTGGACCAGATGGACATAGATGTGGGCTTCGACAGTGGAGTCGACCGCATCTTCCTGGTTTCGCCCATCACCATTGTCCACGAGATCAACAAGGACAGCCCCTTCTACAACATGAGCAAACAGGACCTTGAGAACACTGAGTTTGAAATCGTGGTCATCCTGGAGGGCATGGTTGAGGCGACTGCCATGACCACACAGTGCCGCAGCTCATACGTCTCCAGCGAGATCCTCTGGGGCCATAGGTTCGAGCCAGTGCTCTTTGAGGAGAAGAACTACTACAAGGTGGACTACTCACGCTTCCATAAGACATACGAGGTGCCCAGCACCCCTCTGTGCAGCATGAGAGACTTTGCAGAGAAAAAATACATTCTCACAAACTCTAATTCCTTCTGCTACGAAAACGAGATGGCGCTAGAGAACAAAGAGGACACTGATGAGGGGAACGGGGGCAGCGTTGGGCCCGACGGCACCCAGACAGACAATATCTCAGAGACTGAACACAGCCAAGCCACGGTGCCGCTGGAGCCCCGGCCTCTGAGGCGAGAATCAGAAATATGAGTGTTCAGACCTCATATGAGGGATTTTCTAAAATCAACTCTCTGCTCTGAAAGGCACGCCGAGCTGGGCCTTGGGTAGAGGGCAAGTCGAACGGTACTGCTGTGGGAAGCGGCGAAGGGTTAGGACTTTGTGTGTAAGAGTCTGCTTGAACTTTGACTACATACAGTATGACAAAACACAGCACTATGAAACATGTGCATATCGCAAAGAACAATTCTCAATTAAGTCTCAGTGTCTGCTGACTGCAAGGTGACAGGCAGGAAGGAAGTTGTTGAAATGACTTGAAAATTGCAGGCATGTCTCAGTTTCTCTGTCCGGCATGAACAAGATGTTTCAGAAAGGTGGTTTTTTATAGTTAGGATATTTTTAAGTGCTGCTAGTGTTACGGTTTTGTATTTATGTTTTCATTTTCCACCTTTGTTTTGAAATGTTTTCCTCCTTGTGTCTTCTCTGTTCCTTCTTCCTGTGTTTGCCTTCCTGTCGTTAGTTTCCCTGGTGTGTCTGATTGTCTGATTGTCATGGCCTTCCTGCCCGTCCTCCGGAGTTGTCCCGTCAGCACCTTCCTGCCCGGCCTCCGGAGCTGTCCCGTCGGCGCCTTCCTGCCCGTCCTCCGGAGCTGTCCAGTCGCCGCCTTCTTGTTCGCCCTCGAGCCCGGCCCCCTGAGTGCCGCGGTCTTCGCCCTCGAGCCCGGCCTCCTGACTCTTCCAGCCCCCCGTGTCCTGTTGGCTCTACGGCCGACGCCTACCACATGTCCTGTACCGTTGGAGGTCCCGCCGACACCTGTCCTGCCGGGGGTCCTGCCAACCCTATGTCCTGTCCCGTTGGGGGTCCCGCCGACTACTCTTCTGCCGGGTGTCCTGCCAACCCTATGTCCTGTGCTGTTGGAGGTCCCGCCGGCTACTCTCCCGCCGGGGGTCCTGCCAGCTCCATGTCCTGTCCTGTTGGGGGTCCCGCCGACACCTGTCCCGCCGGGGGTCCTGCCAACTCTGTGTCCTGTCCTGTTGGAGGTCCCGCCGACACCTGTTCCACCGGGGGTCCTGCCAACTCTGTATCCTGTTCCGTTGGGGGTCCAGTCGACACCAGCCCTTGCTCCATCCGGGGTCCCATTGACACCAGCCCATGTCATGTTCAGGATCCCGTCTATGCCTGTCCCGTCGGCTCCGGTTCCTGTCCGGCCGATACTGGGTCCTGCCCAGCCTCCGGAGCTGTCCCGTCAGCACCTTCCTGCCCGGCCTCCGGAGCTGTCCCGTCAGCGCCTTCCTGCCCGGCCTCCGGAGCTGTCCCGTCGGCACCTTCCTGCCCGGCCTCCGGAGCTGTCCCGTCATGGCCTTCCTGCCCGTCCTCCGGAGTTGTCCCGTCAGCACCTTCCTGCCCGGCCTCCGGAGCTGTCCCGTCGGCGCCTTCCTGCCCGTCCTCCGGAGCTGTCCCGTCGCCGCCTTCTTGTTCGCCCTCGAGCCCGGCCCCCTGAGTGCCGCGGTCTTCGCCCTCGAGCCCGGCCTCCTGACTCTTCCAGCCGCTGCCTTCGCCCCCGAGCCCGGCCCCTTGAGTTCCCCAGCCGTGGTCTTCGCCCTCGAGCCCGGCCTCCTGACTCTTCCAGCCACTGACTTCGCTCTCATGCCCGGGCCCCTGAGTTCGCCCGCTGTGGCCTTTGCCCCTTTTTGGACTCTGCCTTGCCCCCGGGCCGTCCGCCCGGGACCCCTTCCGGGCCCGTCCTCCAGACCCCCTCCACCCACCCTTTTGGTCCTGGTTGTGCGTCCCTCCTCCGGGCCCCCTCCGCCCACCCTTCTAGAGGTTTTGGACTTTTTGGGGTTTTCTTGGGATGTCTGGAATCCGTCCCTTGAGGGGGGGGTTCTGTTACGGTTTTGTATTTATGTTTTAATTTTCCACCTTTGTTTTGAAATGTTTTCCTCCTTGTGTCTTCTCTGTTCCTTCTTCCTGTGTTTGCCTTCCTGTCGTTAGTTTCCCTGGTGTGTCTGATTGTCTGATTGTGTTCACCTGTTGCCCTTGTGTTTCTGCCTCCCTTACCCCAGCTGTGTCTTGTCTTGTGATTACCCCTCTCTGTATTTAGTCTTGTCTTTCCCTGTGTGCCTTGTCGGTTCATTGTTGGTTTTTCCTGTCTCCCTCCATGTCAGTCACGGTCAGTTTTGTTTGTATTCGCTATCTATGTTTTTTCATGCCATGTTTTTTGTCATCAGCTTTGTAAATAAAGCTTGTTTTTGTTTATAGACCTGTTACCCTTTTTGTAGTCTGCATTTGGTTTCCTACCTTTGCCCAACCCTAACAGCTAGAAGTGCCTTCTCTTAGAACCAAAGAGTACATGAACAATAGATGTATGCAACAAAGAAAGTACAAGTAGAGTATTTGTTCGCGAGCTGGTCTCATAGCAGACATCACAGAAGTCGAAAATGTTCTGTATGTAACAAAGTAGAAGACTTTAGTGATTTCCTCTGACTTGACCGCAACGGTTTTCTGCTTTATCCTTTGCAGTTTTTACAAATTTGAGATACTGTTCCTTGCTAGCCGGACTGATAGAAACATGCTCATGTCAAGAGACTGAGCAGGGTAGTATTAACAAACTGACAACACATCAATTACTTTAATTTAAACAGAGACCGGGGTGATATGAGAGTCTGAATGTCCTTAAAAGTGCTGTTATAATGTTGCTTATTTTATTCTTTTGTTTTACAGCTGATAAAAAAATACCGAAGAGTATTATTATCATAGTTATGTGTTTCTTAAAAACAACACCTGCTTAGATTTGATACAGTAGTTTTACGTTTAGGAAGTTTTACTAAGGGTTTGTTTTTTGAGAATTGTGGAGGCTATTTTTATATAACATTAGAAAGACTGATTCTTATTATTACATTATTTGCTTATTGTGCTCATTTATGTGGCTGTGACTTAGGAATAAATAGACTCAATCACCCCCAAAGTCACATGAGAAAGTGTTTAGCTTGCAATATTGAAAGCAGCAAGGTGGAGTGCAGAGACTGAGAGAACATAAAGAGGTAGTCAGAACAGCACATCGCACCGGCCTTGACTCGGTATGGAAGCCGCGCTCCCCCGCAAAGCTAGGAAGCAACATTATGGCTTCCCGCTATATCTGAAGAAACGTTAGAGAAAACAAATTATTATGATGGTGCCAGAGTAGGGAGGGACTTCCACAGGCCGGCCGAATGCTGATTGGAGGATTGTGTTGCCAAGAGACCCTATCTGAGTCTGTGCACCAACCAAAGAGAACCAAGTCTAAACCATGGTATCTCTTCAGCTAGTCTTGACCAATCAAAAATGTACGGGCAACGCCCTGTGTAATAAAAGGTATTGTCGCACGAGGGTCGAGGCTCTTGACGGATTTGGTGGTTACAGATTACAGCTTTGCTGCCTGTGATTCCCAAAGACGTGATGAGTCCTTGGCCAAGTGATATATATCTTTTGCTCTCTTTACAATAAATAGTTAAACTTAGAAGTTTCTTTTCTGGAATTCTGAACCCAACAGAATGTGTGTACAGTTTCTTTCTAAAGACGACTATCTTTATTTTGAGCCATTCCATCAAGCCTTAACCTACCTGAAGATGTATAAATAACCGAAAGTTGCAAAGGACATTAAACGGGATTTAAAAGTAGTGTTTGAACTATCAGTCATAAAAACTGACTGATATTTGAAGGATTTTATTGTCAAATTGCACCAAAAAATATATTTTTAAGGCCAAACCCTCGGACTCGTGAATCTTTCCCCCACGATGACTCGGACTTGCCTTGCCTTGGAGTCAGATGTCCTCTATCCTGGCGTGTGCACCTGCGAGGCGAGTTCACGTACTGGGCCCCGCTGTTCCAGTCTAGAGATGTCTAGAGACACACCCCGCATCGTGCTGTATGCTGTCACACATTCTGCTTCCACATTGGGGAAGAGCAGCACAAAATGCTCGTTATGTGGAAAAAAGATTGAAGCGACGGCTCCGCAACGCAGAGGCCACACGGCGGCGTGCGTTGAAGCTTGCCGGCGGGCGTGTCTGAAACTCGACCAACAACCAATCACATGAATCTCCCGCCCCGGACACACAAGCACGCGGTTTGATTGGCTAGAGCTTGTACTGGCATATGATTTGATTGGCTGGCGCTTCCATTGAGGCTTCAAAAGTTGAACATCGCTCAACTTTTGAAGCGAGCAACACGAGCAAAGCGAAGCGACGCTCCCACAATGCAGTTCGGCAAAGTGTGACGTCACCCCATTCAAAGTGAATGGGCAGAAGCGTTGAAGCTTCAACGCACGCCGCCGTGTGGACGGGCCGTAACACATTACTCTAAGGATCGAGTTCAGACATATAGGCTGTCTTGAACACTATCATCAGAGTAACGTGATCTAATCAATAAATACAGATTCAGCCGATAACACGAAAGCACATGGCTACTTAAAGTGGACCTATCATGCTATATTTGAATAATATAGTGTAGGACCATACCTATATAAGGCATATTTATACTTTTTTTTTTTCAAAATACCAAACAGATCATGCATTTTAGCCATGCCTCATTTTGCTCAATTTGACAATTTCTAGCTCTGTTTTTGCAAGGGCAGATTCTGTGAGAACAGCACCATCTACAGGCCTGGCATATGTACTACAGCGTCTCCAGCGCTTTCGAACGGCAATGGCCATGGCTGTCTCCTCCTGATTGGTGGAGTTGGCCCAATAGCCGTAGCGCCACCGTCCTGACGTCAGGACAGTGTTCAAATCTGGATCAGTTTTTATCAGATCCGTTGCAGCCCCTTTTTTAGAGATTTGGGTATGGAGGAAAATAGAGAGGGTTGTGTTTTCTGACACTTGGTGAGTTCCCTGGAACACCGGGGACACATATTCATGTAGAAAAGACGTACAAAAGTGCATTTTGCATGATGGGTCCCCTTTAACATGCAGAATGTCGTCATTTTGCATGCTAAGTAGCCATGTGCTTTCTGGGGCTTAATCTTTATTGATAGAATTTAAACATTCACTATAATAATTGTAGCGTCCCCCTGAATGATGGTTAGACTCTCCAACTGATGGTATCTGTTTATCGATCACCCTTGCTTTTATACAATCATTACCAAGGTAAGAGCTTGTGCCCTTATCAGCCAGATGCTAAAAACCCAATGCAACTATTTAGTATATGTTAATTTATTAATCTATCATCTGTCATCTATCCGTCATTATACATGTGTGTTTACACTGCTCCGTTGTCCATTGACTTCCGGTAAAAGTTCCTTCAAAATAAGAGTCCCGATCTTATTACTATCAAAATAAAAGTGCAAAACGAAAACTTTACCATAAGAAAATATTGGCATACAAATATAATCACTTCTCTAAAAGGTAACTCATTTTAAATATAGTTAGACATATTAAAGGTCATTTACAATAATACAAATTATAATATTAATATTATTAATAAGCTTTATATTTGTATAGCACCTATTA